GAGCTCAGGTCGAAACACTGTGTCCTTGTACATCGTCAGCAATTCAAAGGCAGGGTTCGCCCGGAAACTTTCTCAATCGGTCTCCAGATAACGTTGAGCTTTAGCCGTTCCGACATTGTCGAGTTGGTCGCGACGCTCCAAGGATGCAGCGACATTTTTGATTGTTTTGTTCGTCAGATCCAACATGAAGTCTGGTTCCTCGATCGATTTCGTCTTGATTCTGAGGAACTTTCGCAATTTCTCTCTTGTGATGAACTTTGTCTGCTCACAAGCGTCATCCGGGATTACCATCGTGAACATCTTCTCCAGAACAGACCCTCTTCACCTGATATCGCTGCTCCCAGCAACAGTACGATCGCTCCCCGACAAATTCCTCTCGTCTTCGCATGTTGAACTCTTGCCAGCGGACGCATCTTCCAGTAGCTCGCAAACAATTCGCGGGGTATCACTTTGCTCTGGGTCGTGAACGGGACCGACCACGCATTTCACATTCGTTTCCAGCGCGGCACCTCGACAAAATTCGTGTCTTTTTCCCGACAGGACTTTCGCCCCGACAGAGCTCCGATGCCCGGAGACAATCACTGGTTTGCCTTCCTCGATTGGCTCACAGGTTTCACCAGCTCGTTCCCAGCGCAAAGTTCTCATTCTTGTTTCTTCGACTCGTTGATCTCTCCAACCGATCTGTGGTTGCATGTCCTCAACGAATGGGATCCCAAGAATGCAGTCAAATCCTTCAGGTATCGTGAAGACAACCTCGACGCATTCACATCCATTGTCTGATCCAGAGACCATGATTCTTAGAGGTAGCACCTCTAGTGGGGTCTCCACAACCTGGTTGTCTCCTAGCTTGACTCGAATGTTCTTGTCGCTGAACTTTGTTGTCTTTAGCTGGCGTTCTTCTATTCACCGCTTCGACACGTAGATAGTGGTTGCACCACAATCTAGTAGCATTATTAATGTTTTCTTCATCTTGCCAACCACACTGATATCACCGCTGACGGCGAGCAGTGGTCGTGACTTGTAGACTTGAGGGTTTCACTCAGAACATTAAGGCTGACATTATCAAACTTAACTACTCTGGTTACTTTCTCCTCCACGACAGGACCCTCTTTCGCTTACGTGGCTTCTCGTTTCCTTGCTTGTTCCTTCTTCCACGCAAAGCAGTTGGCCTTGATGTGGCCAGGCTTGTTGCAGAAGTGGCAGGTATGAGTCTCCTTGCTCCTGGAATTCGAGCTCGGTTTGAATAGTTCCTTTCATCGGAAGGATTTCCCCTCGGACGTCTTCTTGGCGTCTTGACTTTGGTCGTTAGAGGTCTTCACCTTCTCGCGACGAACGCGGTCACTAGCGTCCTCCACAAAATCGGTTACCTCAACTTGACAGCTAAGTCCATGACATCACTCAGCGTCTCAGGATTCTCGAGCTTCATGTAGCTCCGCGTGCGAAGCTTGAGACCGTTTGCGTAGAACAGAACTTGGTCAAGCACGCTCATGACTTCGACTTGGAAGATGAGGGCTGAGTACTCGCCATTGTAGCTCTCGATATTCGCCGTTTGCTTCAGATGCTGATGCTTCTCTCGTAGTACCGACTGGTAGTTAGACGCCTCGACGTGTTGGAGCATGCTCACGGAAAATCCCCCACGTGTGCTCCTCCACTCGCGTTGTTGAAGCCCAGTGTAGGATCCACCGAAGCCGGTTTGCCATCGGCAACCCGGCGATTCCTGATATTCTCGGATTTGCATCGTGGATCGTGATCCAGTAAATGAGGCAGGCGTTCTCGAACAGCCATTCGCGCACGTCTTCCCCCTCTTGCCGGTGAACTTGGGCAGCTTGGTGGGCATTCTCGTGCGTTCCGCCATCGCTTGATTCAGCCGGTCGATCTCGGCTTGTAGCTGCGCGTTCGTCGGCATGGGCCCCTTGAGGTCAGGTTGCTGGGACGAACAAGTGCTACCAGTTTTATCGAAGGCAGGCGAGCTTGGGGGAGGGCGGCCAAAGAAAAGTGCCACCCCCCGCAGTCCAGGCGGATGGAAGGTTCTAGAAGCTTCCACAGCCACCCTACATCTGCTTGTGTATTAATTACTACACTATACGTTTTCGTAGTACTACTAACCGCCCATTTCAATAAGTCAATAATATAAGCCAATCAGATACAGCCCCGCTTCTACATCACGAAAGGTGGAGAAGTAGCGTGACCGAGACAACGTCGACTCAGATGACGATTTTTTATTTCATAGATGCAAACGGGTGTAAGAAGTCATCATAAACTCGACACCACTGTAGCCAAAGTTGCCCTACGGTGGGGAAGTAGACGATAGTATGTATCTTATAGTATACTAGTGATGTCGTTTTACTAGAATAGTAGTACGTCAAGAGTAAATGGCCTTATAGTAAGCTTTAATACGTCACTACAA